AGATTGAAACTAAATATTTTTTTGTTTCGAAGTTGAAATCAAGGCATATTCACTGCCAAAAGTCAGTTAAAAATTTTCCATATTATTCGTTATTTCTTATTTTATTCAAAGTTTTTGGTCAAATTCCAAATTTTCTCTCAAACCGTATACTTTTTCTTTAGTATAGATAGTATTTATTTACCTCATGATATGCTGTAAAACCTAATTAATCACGAATTTCTAATTTTATGTACTCTTGTCTCCGATTGTACCTCCCAAACATCCTTAAGGAAATGCGAACATTAGTTCAGGATAGGAACAAGTCAAAGAGCGGAGGTGCGTATCCAACCAGTCATAGGACTGACGACCCTATCATGATGTTAATATGCATAAACAATTGCTCGTATTATATTTTATTGGATTTATGCACCTATTTATTTTGTCATAACCAACAACTTACCTCGATTGCATAGTGAAGTACTTTAGCTGCTGGATGCAACTCAATGTTTTCAAAAGGTCCAACATGAGGTTTTTGCCATCCACCCAAATCTTTGTGATAAGACACCTTGAACATGTGATCGGTGAAAATATGTCCGAATTTTAGATCTGCCACTTCCGGTTTCTGTCGAAGTTGACTGGGATCACAAAGGGTTGTTTGAAGATCACTGTACTACAATAAATTAATGAAATGTTTTATCCATTGCATGTATATATACCTCGTACAAGGCAAAAAATCATTTCTTATTCTACAATACGAATGACATTATGTATATACTTATTAATTGCTTCTGCTTTTTGTTTCAAAGAAGAAGGAAGAGAATAAAGGTATGAATACGTCTTATATATCGTTATCTATGCCAGAATTTAGCTACATTTTATCTAAATTTGATACCCGAAAGAATTACCTCTTCACATTTCAGGATATTTTTTATGCTCAGGTCCACTTATTGTATTTGAAAGTGATTTTCGTGAAGATTTATTAAAAATTTAAAATATCGATAAAAATCTCAAGGGCTCATGATTCTAATTTTATGGCTTTGCATTTTAGAATTTTAATTGTTTTTTTGTCGTTGTTGACTTACTTTAAAGGTATATTCGCTTTCCGTTTCATAATCCAAATTTTTAAATTCTTCTTTCACTTTGAGGTAACAGCTTCTGGCCAGTTGCCTGAAAAATTTGTGCTGTTGTTCTAAAACTAATCTGCAAGCGCACTAAAAATAAAGCAGTATTAATATTGTATCCTTTAAATTGGCGGAAAAGTATTTTAATTAAAATCTAACAAGCTTTAAGAGTAGGAGAGGAGAGGTCAATAAGAAATAGGCGAGATAGGTTGGTAGGACACCTTCTCTCCATGAAGGGCTGGTTGGAGACTTACTAAAAGCAGAAATTGGAGTTAAGAGGGATAGAGGTAGACCTCGATTAGATTACTGCTCACAAATAGAGGATGTTCTAGTTTTCTAGTTTTAGGGAAGGGATTATGCTTTTTTTTAAATTACTATCACTATCACTATCACTATATAGTATAAAACAAAGTCGCTTCCCGCTGTCTGTTCCTATGTATGCTTAGATCTTTAAAACTACGCAACGGATTTTAATGCGGTTTTTTTTAATAGATAGAGTGATTCAAGAGGAAGGTTTATATGTATAATACATGCATAATATAGTAGGGAAACACTGATAATTTTAGAGGTTTCTAATGTGATGTCGTAAATAAACACATTTTTTGCGCTTACATTTGCAAACGCTGGCTGAACCCTACGAGATAGATCAAAATAATGTACTACAATATTGTACATCTTAAAAGGGTCTACGAAAAAGTCCGGGATGGTATATGTCTATCTCTTAGGGATAACCGACAATAACCATTTTTATCCTTTACTTTTTATGAGAAATAATGACTTATTTACGAAGCGGTTGTAAGCAATACAGCATTAATTTTTGTCTAATTAAGTACCTCAAATACATTGTGAATTTAATATAGATCAATATGGCCCTTTACAGCATGTAATTTAAATGAATATTTTCGAAGGTATTACAAATTTAAAATGCAGGGACATAGCGGTTGCGGCGGTACCGGCCGGGAGGCCGGTTTGTATTGTCTAATGACAAAAAAACTGTGAATGTTGTATATAAAGACATTCTGTAGTATATTTAGTATTAGCGTTGCACCCGTGCGAAGCTAGGGCGGGTCGCTAGTCATATATAAATGTAAGTGAAAATAGAAATAGGTGCATCTGGTATTTGAGTTTTAAGGCGTTTAAATATGCCTAATTTTTTCATGTGGTAAGCGCCTTCACCATATATTACAAATCACAGTAGACATTTAATCAACATCAAACATTTAGGAAGTTCCTATGTAGGAATTAATTCTCACAACAGAAATTACGTATTTTTTATTTTGTTATGGCGTTTTATTTATTCTTTATTTATACATATTTTGCTTATTCTGTAATACCTACTCGTGCTACATCAGGTCATTTTTTTTGTATTGACATTAAGATCTTTCGTATCTTTTGCGGCAGAAAGTGGTACTTATAAATAAAAAAAATCTGCACGCGCATTGTACTGGAATTATAGTCATTTTATCAACTAGATACACAAGGTCATTGTTCAATAATACGAATCGGAATTACAATTTCAATGCCCCAACTAATGTCCATGAACTTGAACTTGATATATTTGCTAAAAATTGTTTATCTTCTTATGCTAATTTTAAACAGTTGCAATCTTTTTAATAGAAATATGAAAACCGTAAATTTCGATTAATTCCTGATTATCAAAAAATGTGACTTTTTCAAAAAACAGCAAAATATTTTTGTCGTTTTATAACAAGTGTTATATTTATGACTGCTATTGTTTGTAATAAAGGGCATTCCCGCTCGGATGGTGGAGGGAAAACGAGTGGAAGGGTTGGTTTTATTCAGTACCTAGCGGAAGCGAAGGCTGTGAAGCTGAAATTTGAAATTAAGGATGATTGGAAGGTATGTCAAAATTCTACGAGACAAATAAAAATTTGGAAGAACGTTCCTCATTCAATTTTAAAACTCCTGTAAAAATTACAAATCGATTCACTAAACCGTTAAAAACTTATTGAAATTTTAAAAAATTGTAATTTTACACGTCATTTTATGAAGATTCGTTAACCGAAAAAATTAAATTTATTTTTATTAACAGAAAAAAAGCTACCAGAAATTTCAAACTTTTATAATAAGTACTTGAACTCTGGAGAATCACTTTAGCGTAAGGTTATTCAAATTCACTAAATGGTTATCGAGGAAAAAATGAAAAATTAGCTGAAAATCTCGTTTTTACTTGATAATATAATGATAATATTTATAATTGTCTGAAATAAATTCAATTTTAAAGTTTTAATTATTATTTAAACATATTAAAAAGTTTTACGCTAATTATTAATAGAGATTGAATCTAAATATTTTTTTGTTTCGAAGTTGAAATCAAGGCATATTTACTGCCAAAAGTCAGTTAAAATTTTTCCATATTATTCGTTATTTCTTATTTTATTCAAAGTTTTTGGTCAAATTCCAAATTTTTTCTCAAATCGTATACTTTTTTTTTAGTACAGATAGTATTTGTTTACCTCATGATATGCTGCAAGATCTTATTAATCACGAATTTCTAATTTTATGTACTCTTGTCTCCGATTGTACCTCCCAAACATCCTTAACTGATACGTATCAGAGAGAAAAGATAACATTATGTAGAAAACACAACAAACTTCTTCACCTCCAGCTACTCACTTTTTTTTTTAATTTTCGTGGAAGAGGGGAAATGATCAAAAGACACCCAGCCATCAGTACGACTGAATCCGAAAAAAAAAAAAAACGAGTAGCTGCATATGAAGAAGTTTTTTATGTTTTTTACATAATGTTATTTTTTCTCCCTGATACGTATCACTTAATAGCACTTAACGCTTGGTGCATTGGTGTATAGCACTTATATTAGGTTATGTTATGATATAAAAGGTTCTCTTATAGCTATATGCTCCCCCCCCCCCAAATAAGAACGAAAACCAATCAGGTGAGCCCATCGCCTATACAATAACTATTTATTTATTTTTGCTCGAACTTTTACTTCTACCCTCGGTTTGTCCATGGGTGAGCAATAAAACACTTGTATGATGTTCTGCAAAGCCACGTCAACCCCCCCCCCCACCAGTTGAGAGTGTCATACGTCTAGGCATTTTATGAAGAATAAATTTATGCAGTTTATCTCCATCTAATTAATTAAGTAACTTATTCAATGACGCGTTTATATAAATCTGAAGGTACCTTTTTTTTCGTTAAACATTAAACATTAAGCATTAATGCATATCAAACTAAATTATTACTTACTAATTAGTTAATTATAAGCGGAAATAATCTTTCATTGACAATAATGTAACGTCAAACAATTTATTAGCGTCATGAGAAGATATCTTTGTTTTTCTGATATACAGCGTCATATTGTTGTTTATAAATAATTGTATTTGCCCTTTTCCGTATTTTTTTTTTATTAAAATTACCTACCGAAGATGGCGCCGAATGTTAAAACATTGTGTTGAAGTTATTTTTATGATCGATCTTGCCTTTCATCCATTGTGAAGAATGCTCGTTAATTAGATGTTTGTTTAAATTAATTGATAATAAGTACAAATTCAACGTTTATCTACACGATTAAAATAATATGCTCATTATTGTTATACATAAAATAAATAAAAGATATTTTGTGTTTGTTAAATATATTAATAAGGATAAACGGTTGACTTCTGTAAGCAATTTTTAATAGATCGTTTACTAAAATCTGCAGCAGATGTTAATTAAGTAGGTACGTCTATATATCTCGCACTTATACATAAATGTTTCAGCTTGTTACAATTTTTAAAAGAATAGCGTTTAATAATGAAATATTATACTGAAAATTCAATTTCTGAATTTTTTACTCACTACACGCTACCTCAAATTAATGAGGGAAAAACTGTTGCTGTTGTCACACCCTCGCCGGGAATCGAACCCGAGACCTTTGGCTTTACGCACCAATGTTCTGACCAGTAAGCTACGAGAGGTGACAACAGCAACCACCACCAACCGACCTACAAGGTTAACGATCCGTCGAACTGATATAACTATATACTGAATATACTATGATTAAACATACATACAAGTTAGACATCTTTTTAGAAGTGAGTTAGTTTATCGTTTAACAAGTTTAGTAAATGTGAAAAACACTTTAGAGAATTGGCTACAATATCAACTTTGTTACATTTTCTCTAAGATGTATGACCATTATTCGTACATACAGGGTGATTCTATATAAAGTCCTATTTCGACGTATGTGTAGGGCTCTATTTTTTGACTGTAATACTTTTGATAGTGACTCAGGCAAATCCGCTCTGTTTGAAAATGGCGAAAGAAAGAAAGTCAATATTTTATGAACTATTTCAAGAACTACCAATGATATTAATGATATTGAGAAATTCACGTACGCAATTGATGGAGGGATGATATTACATCGTTGTAAACAGGGGCGGCCTTAGTTATTGGAAGGTTCGGGGCCGGTAAATTTTTGCGAGGCCCTCGTCTTTGTGGAATTAATTTTAATGACGATACTTGAAAAATGCAAAGTGATTTATAAATAAGTTTACAGTTTAAATTAAAAAACATTGATAAAGACAAAGATAGCAAATTTGCGGCTTCTTTTAAGACCATTAAGAAATTCAAATAAACATTACTAGTATGTACTATTACTATCTACCTAATATTTTTCTAATTAGATTGTTGCGCGAGTGTGCGAGGCCCCTGCAAGAGCGAGGCCCCGGGCGGTTGCCCTGTTCGCCACCCCCAAAGACCGCCCCTGGTTGTAAATGCCAACTAGAAGAAAAGTTCAGGACTGAAAATAGTCGAGTATTTAAGACTAATATCATTAGTGTCCACAACTAATGCGTATGAAGGGAGTGTTCTCAGGTACAAGTGGAAGCATGTATGGTTGGTAGAGATGTGCAAAATGCTCTTTTAAAAGTATTTAAATACAAAATTCAAATACTTTTTTGATTTGTTACTTCAAATGTAAAATACAAAATAGATTTCTCTTTTGTATTTTAAATGCTAAATGCAAAATACGTATTTTCAAAACACTTTTTTCTAAATAGTACAAAACCTTGCAGGTATTTACTCATTTCTTAAATACCGGAGTTTTTCTGGACTAATAGTGTTTG